TTTATGTGGCTCTTTCAGCTGGACTCTGACTCAGACCGCATTGGAGACACTTGTGACAACAATCAGGACATTGATGAAGATGGCCACCAGAACAATCTGGACAACTGTCCCTATGTGCCCAATGCCAACCAGGCTGATCATGACAAAGATGGAAAGGGAGATGCCTGTGACCATGATGACGACAATGATGGCATTCCCGATGACAGGGACAATTGCAGGCTGGTGCCCAATCCTGACCAGAAGGACTCTGATGGTGAGTCAGTGTGGCCGCTCTGCAGTAAGATAATGACGGACACTGTGGCTGTCTGGATGGAGAGAATGAAAGCAGAGCTGAGTGCACTGGGGTGACGCCAATTTTAACAAGATAAAGGCATAACAGCAGAGTTTCGCTGACACTCTTGCCTTTTCTGGCCTTAGGTGATGGTCGAGGCGATGCTTGCAAAGATGACTTTGACCATGACAATGTGCCAGACATCGATGACATCTGTCCTGAGAATGTTGACATCAGTGAGACTGATTTCCGCCGATTCCAGATGATTCCTCTAGATCCCAAAGGAACATCGCAAAATGACCCGAACTGGGTTGTACGCCATCAGGGTAAAGAGCTCGTCCAGACTGTCAACTGCGATCCTGGCCTTGCTATAGGTAAGTACTGCCCTTTGATCAAAGGCAAATACACAACACGGGAAAGAAGCAGACAGAAAACCTGGTAGTTGAACCTGCCCCTGTAGGCACTAAGGGTGTCAAGGAATATAACGGGGAACCTTCTAATGTTGTTAACCTAGCCCTGGCCTCGTTTTCCAGGTTTTGATGAATTTAATGCTGTGGACTTCAGCGGCACCTTCTTCATCAATACTGAAAGAGATGATGACTACGCTGGCTTTGTGTTTGGCTACCAGTCCAGCAGCCGCTTCTACGTTGTTATGTGGAAGCAGGTCACCCAGTCTTACTGGGACACGAACCCCACCAGAGCACAGGGATACTCGGGCCTTTCTGTGAAAGTCGTGAACTCTACCACGGGACCCGGCGAGCACCTGCGCAATGCCCTGTGGCACACCGGCAACACCCCCGGCCAGGTACGCGGCACCATCCTGCAAAAGGGATGAGTGATGGGTGTCTACAGTGCTGGGACACTGCTTTGGCCAAGATTTCCAACAGGGAGCTTTAGAGGAGTTGTTTCCAGCATCACCAACAGTAGCATTAAGTTCTGCTTTGTAAAAGCTTAGCAGGGTGTGAGAGACGAGGTTCACCGTGACCACGAGTTATCCTTCAAATCCCAAAACACCTTCCGTCTCTTTCAACAAAAACTTTCCCTTCCCTCCCCCACTACTTTAGATTCACTGAATGGTGCACAATAAATGACAAAAGGCCTGGAGGAAAGCGGAGGGTGCAGCTAATTTAGGTCAACACAGAGCCCTTGAGGCACTGTTCCTTCCAGAATGAAATATAAATCTTCCCCTAAAGGAATCTTTTCTTTTCCTTTTCCTTCAGGTGCGCACCCTGTGGCATGACCCTCGTCATATAGGCTGGAAAGACTTCACTGCCTACAGATGGCGTCTGAGCCACAGGCCAAAGACAGGTTTCATTAGGTAAGGTTGGCCTGAACAAGGATGCTAATGGGCAAAAAAGGAAAAGACCAGAGCAACAGTGTTATTCATGACATTTTTTTTTCCCTGCAGAGTGGTGATGTATGAAGGGAAGAAAATCATGGCAGACTCTGGACCCATCTATGATAAAACCTATGCTGGAGGTAGACTGGGATTGTTTGTCTTCTCTCAAGAAATGGTGTTCTTCTCCGACCTGAAATACGAATGTAGAGGTAGGAGCAATATTGCATTGAATATGCAGTGACATCTCTAATTCAGATGAACAGTGAGGTTGACAAAGAGAATCTGATTTAAGGATTACTTTAGCTCTGAAGGCTGAGGCAGGAGGATCCCACCTTAGGCAACTTAGCAACTTCGTGAGACGTTGTTGCACAATAAAAAATACCAAGAGCTGGGCATGTAGTTCAGTGTGAAAGCCCTGAGTTTAATCCTCTACACCATGCACACACGTACACACACACATGCACACACACAAAGACTATTTTAGAATCAGGGTTATTTACATTTGCTTTTGAAGACAATGTTAAAAGTGAAATAATGCCTATGAACTGCGACTAAAGATACCCTGAATCTTTATCTATAGTGTTAATTTCTATAAGCAAATTCCTAACAGTTTCTAAGTTCTTCATACATAGTACAGAAGAAAATGGCAAATAAATAACTATACAGATGAGATCTTGTTAATAATACTTTCCTATTAAATTAGACTCCACCTATAAGTTTGTAAAATGCCATCACAGCACAAGTTGCCTTTCATACCCTTTTCCTGTGTTGAAGAAGGAAAGGAGTGTTTAATTGTCACTTAATTAACCTTAGCTTTTTTCCTTCTCTTTTTTTCCTACCCACTGATTTCTTAAATTGAATTCAGCATTGGTCTTATCACAAAATAGGTGCTCAATAAGTATCCAAGGCTCAGGCCTACCAGATGAAAACATCAGCCAGCCAGATCACACGCATAAAGAAAGATGGTTACACTACTCAAGATACTTTACATAGGACAAATCTTTTCAGCGCTGATTTTAAAAGTAAAATTCCCTAAACCTTTAACATTGAAGCATAATACTAATTCTGAAAGGCTGTGCAGTGTCTTCATCCTAACATCCAGCTTAGAAAATGAAATGTTCATGTTTGAACAACCTTAGATTATGCCTTCATCACTCCAAAAGCAGAGCTCTCCCTGGGTTGTTAATTTTTTAACAAAGATGAGTGTGCCCTTAGTAGGGCATTTATTTATGTTTATGTATTTCTTTGACAGATTCCTAATCATCGAACTGTTGATCAGAGTACTGGTCATAACCGATGCTGGTTTTGCACCTTCTGGAACAAAGAACTTGAGAAACCCCGGGATCACTTCTCCTGCCTTCCTCTTTTCTCTGCTTGCATGAGTGTGGACTCCCGAGAACACAGGACCTGCCTCAAGAAAATGCAGCTTTCCAACACAGACTTGGCTTTCAGCCTCCAAAGAATAAGAAGACATCTTCCAAAACTACAAACAGTGACTGGTTTGCTTTTGAAAAGCAAAAGCATCTACTTGCTTCCATTGGAAACATGCCCACTTCACTCTGCTTCTGTCCCCAGGCAGGGTGCTCTGGTGGGACGTCTCTGAGCAGTGGACTCAGAAGCATTTTCAGGCATGCGAGAGAAGGGAGGACTCACTAGAATTAGCAAACAAAACTAGCCCTGAGACACTCCCTCACGAAGGAGGGAAGGGCCAAAGCACGAAGGGGAGGGCGCATACCCAAGAGGCGATTGTATGGAGAAAATGTGGAGGAACTGTTACATGTTGGTACCAAATCATTTTCAGGGGATTGAAAGACTATTTCTGAATTTCATGATGCTGACCAGTGTTAGCTGATTAGCCCACATAAATAGGCACTTAAATAGAAGCAGGGAAGGGAGGGGAAGCCTAGCTTCTGATGTCCTCCCCAGCCCTGCCCCTTACATATCACCTATGGCGGCCAGAGCAGAGAGGCTAACACTTGAGGCAGCCTTTCCTGGTCACGTGGAAACTGGTGGTTTTCTTCCAGGTGTACCTTGTGCAGATGTAGCAGGAAAAGAGCGAAACCTACCATCTCAGTGAGCGCCAGCTGCCTCCCGAGGGAGGGACAGCTGGGCTCATATTTTTATGGTTAGAAAGGCACAAAACTCTTACCAGCTTAACTAAGACATTCCTTTTCTCTCTGTACCTGAATTACCATGGAGTTTTCCAATTCTGTCTTTTGAACTATAGTTTATTGGTTTGTTTTTGTTTCGTTTTATAAATGCTTTACAATGTAAAATATTTATTTTTTACCTATTCTGGAGGATCTGCCTGAAGGATTATTGTGGAACAGGAAGAAATGTAAGGGCTATCCGTATCAGCTTTGTTAGGAGTCTTTATGACTGTAAGATTGTAAATACAGATTATTTATTAACTCTGTTCTACCTGGAATTAGATTTCATATGGAAAGTGTTTGAGAGCAGGTAGCTGAGCTTTATCAGCAAATCTCATAACAAACTGCTTTTCACTTTGTGCTTAGAGTGAATGATTTGGAATTTTTTTCTTTGTTTGTTTTGTCTTTTCAAGTGGAATTAGTTGCCCATTTGCAAGTGTTTAGATTGCAAAGAAAGCCATCAGATCTTTAATCCTGTTTTACCCCCTACCCTTGTGCCTATTTCCAGGGAGAAGAAAAGTATATACACCTGTTTTTTTTTTTTTTTTTTCATTTTTCCAAAAGATAAAAAAATGAGAAAGGTGAAACTTACATACAAATATTACCTCATTTGTTGTGTGACTGAGTACAGAATTTTTGGATCAAGCAGAAGGAGTTTTAGCATCTAACAAACTTATAGCTACTGTAGTATCTAAAAAAGTCAATGTTGTACATAGTATGAAATTTCCTTGCAAAAAACTATTCCCATAAGGAAATAGCATTGAAATGTTTCATACAGTTTCTGAAAGTTATGTTTTTTCTACCTTCTTGTATACCATTGCTTTATTTTTATAAATTATTTTCTCATTGCCATTGGAATAGATATCTCAGATTGTGTAGATATGCTATTTAAATAATTTATCGGGAAATACTGCCTGTAGAGTTAGTATTTCTATTTTTATATGTTTGCACACTGAATTGAAGAATTGTTGGTTTTTGTTTTGATTTGTTTTTCGCTTTTACTCCCCAGTTTTTACTATTTTCCAATACCTTTTTCTAGAAATGTACTTTTTGTACACATTTTTATCCATTTTACATTCTGAAGCAGTGTAACTTGTGTATTACTGTTTCTTATGTACAAGGAACAAAAATAAATCATATGGAAATTTATATTTATACTTAACTGTATTCATGTGTTTATTCACACTCTGCTGGCTTTATATTATGAATGGCATGGGTAAATACCATTCTTAAACCAATAGAGCATACACAATATGAAATTACAATGAATAATAGTAACATTCATAGTTCCTACATGATGCAGAAAGCCAGAGTTGCACAAGACTAGGATTAGAATACACATTTGCTAGATTTGTGGAACAAAATGCAAAATAACATTACCATATTAAAAGCATACAATAGAGAAATGACCCCTAACTAAAAACGCGCTCCCAAAAAACAATTTTATATCAATGTCAGACTTCATATATTGAGTCCTTCTCAAAGTCCAGTTCTGTTTCTAGAACAATAAGAACAAAGGGAAGAGTAGCTGTGACACACGTGTAACTTGCAGCCCCATCTGACTTGTAGGCGATGGCACCCATGGACAGCAGGGTCACGGGCACAGCAGCCTCAACAGCAAGTGTGACAAGGGAGAAGCTGTCCTTGAAAAGGGGAGCCATGAATTGCTGCCTTGTCGAGAATTTGGTCTTTGGTCAAAAACTGATGCCTAAAAATAAATGTAAAACTTGGAAGCAGTATGTGTGTGGTGTAAGTACCACATTTTGGGAAGAAAAGGCCAAAATGTAAAATAAGCAGACTAGAGTTTCAGATGGACCAATCATGAATGTGACATGCTGAGCACATAATTTCCAGTTTTAATAATAAAAAAAGAACTTATATAAATTAAGGGTCTTGTTTTGAGGTCTGTTAGACAACAGAAAGACTGGCTGAATGAGATAAACTCTTCCTCATTGACTTTTCTCTCTGATTCTAAAAATGCCGACCCAAGTAGCGTGATCACATATTATAAAGTGCCAAATTACTTTACAGGGCCAAGCTGAGGGAGAAAGAGCTAGAAATGGTTGTGTAATCTGGGAAACTGATCTGAAAGAATAATTATTTGAAACATGATATCATCCTTTCTCAGAATAGAATGCTAATTAATTTATAGGCAGCGCAGCTAAACAAGTTGTGAATATCAGGATGAGACAGAAAACGTGGCTGAAGACAGCTTTTCTCCCCAGGCGTGTTTCATTTTTGCTCTGAAACCGACCTACAAGTAGGCAGGTTCATTAAAATCACATCATCACGGTGATAGTTTTTTCCTCTTGCAGGAGTTTATTGTCAGGGCTTGGGTAGAGTTAGATGAAGGGTAATAAGCTTCAGGTCCTTGGGAACGTACTACTGAGGTGGTGCCAACAAATGGTTGTTTTTGAAGAGTCATACATAGAAAAACCACAGTTTTAAGTTCCTAAATTCATCCCCAGAACAACTTCATTCTTTCTTTCTCTTCTATAGAATACTTTTTATTCTTCTTCTAGGCAAACACAAGGGCTTAGAAGGAAGCTCAGTATAAAACACTTGTTTTCAATAAGTTTTTAATAAAACACATTCTCTGTAAACCAAGGTGTCTGGGGCTTTGTAAATCTGGAAGCTGCATGCTGAATTTTATCGTAAAGTCAGTTTACCAGCCCTTGTCACTTAACATGCGATGCAGCGCTGCCACTTCTTTCACTGACAACATTCATTACTCAGTATCACTGTTTGCCTTCCTCTTATCAAAACTACCGTTGCAGAAGGGCTCGCTGTGCCCCAAATACTACTTGCAGAAGTGCAGAATGTAGCAAGCCCTTTGCAGTGTCCACAAAAAAAGATTTTGTTTCTCTCTCCCTTTACCCACTCCTCTAACACATGGAAGGAAAAATGTGGGATTAGAAAGCTGAGCTCTTCTGCAAGGGTTTTTCTCTGTCCTACCCCCATTCCCGCCCATGTCACCTCTACCCAAACCTAGCAGTGCCAAGCCATTCCTATGACAACCTAAAATCATGACCTTTAACTTCCGCAGACACCCCTCAGCAGAACTCTTGATGTCAGGGTAAGTTACACTGCAGCACACTGATACCAGTATGAACTGTTGGTATTTTAAATGAATAAATAGTAAATAGAAATACGAAGACTGGAAAAAGAAACTGCCTATTGACATTTCCAAAAAGAGTAGCTTCATTCCAAAAGGCCAAACAATACAATGACATCAACAAACATTACTACCCAACATCGGTAGATGAACACGGGCCAGCAAATACTAACAATGACACATACATATTATTCCAAATTTTATTAAAGGCAGTACAACAGCTGGCTCATTTTTCAAATCCGAAATATAGTTGACTTTTAGTTCTAAGGTTAATTCATCATAGGAAGTGTTGATATAAAATTTTCCTATGAATCCAGGTTACTGATATATAACTAAGTAAACTTGTCTTAAAATAATATTACATACTTTTCATAAACAGTAGTTCATCTTTATTTATTGTGTTCTAAATGACCCCAAGTAAAAGAACATAACAAAGAGAAATGTATCAAATAACATCACATTCCTACCTCAATAAGTATCATCATTAATAAGATACTACAGGTTTCCCTAATGCTGCTTTATTGAGGAAGTCTGATTCTTCCCATGGTAAGTTGTACCCACAGACACTGAACAGACTGAAAAAAGGAAAAACAGATCAAAACAAAATCCATAGTGACCACAATCTGCATTACAATAAAGTTGAAGCACATAAAATAAAGTATAGTATAATCACACCATTTCCACTATGCTTAACATAATGCATACATTAAAATGTTGGTTTTCATAATGTATCCCTGATACATTTATAAATATATTTTGCAGAAATTTCAGTGAAGAAAAACTATTGAACAATTATACCTCAAGTCTCAAAAATATCAAGGAAATGAAATCTGTAAGAGATTTCACATATCAAAGTCATTATTTGGGAAACAGTCCCCACAGTACTCATTGAATTTAAAGAATTCAGAGAAAATAAGGAATTTAATTTAATTACCAACTGTCTTAAGAGCATATCCTAGCAAGTCCTTGCTTAAGATTCTTTATATTCTTCCATCACCTCTTTCATCTCCTGTTTATCTGTATACAAAAATAATAAGCAAAGTTACTAAAGAACCAGAATTGTGTACATAATTAAGAAAAACAATTCAGTTTATTAACCATTGACTCTCTTTACACAAATACAATAATCACATTCTTAGTTACCATTTATTAAGCTGCACATAAAGTATATAAGTAAATTCAAAATATAAGCAGTCTGCCCTCATTGAGCATAGTAGCTCAGAGACAACTTTTTGAGTTTTGAGAGCAAAGATGATTGTGGATTTAAATACAGACTTCATTTTTTTTCTTAGCATTCAACTGAGTTTTTAGGAAGTCAGGTGAAAGCAAAAATAGATGCTACATGCAGGGCAGGTAACAGTTGATTGCTTTGTGTGCTCTTTGACACTAAAAGAAGTGAAATGGTAACGTTTTTCTGCCCTTAGTGAAGAAGTTAACAGAAAAGGCAGCATTGGCAACAGAACCAAAGAAAAGAAGACAATAAAAAGCAGTGGGAGAAACCTGTGAAACGTAAAATGGGATAATATCCCCAGCAAACAATCTGGCAGTTCATCAAAAGGTTACAACAGATGTGGCAATTCCATTCCTGAGGTAGCCCAAGGGAAATGAAAACATATATTCACACAACACTTGTAGTATACAAATACTCACATTGACATAGGTCAAAAAGTGGAACAGCCCAAACGCCTGTCAGCTAATGAATAGATAAGTGAAATGTGGTATGTCTGTTCAATGGAATATTATTTGGCATTAAAAATAAACAGTGATGATACACACTACAACATTTCAAGATTTCAACATAAATCTTGAAAACATTATGCACTGTGTAAAAAGCCAGCATAAAGGCCACAATACTGTATGACTCCACTTTCGTGAAATATCCAGAGTAAACAAATTCATAGAGCAGAAAAATAGATTAGTGATTGCCTAGAGCAGGGGATTGGGATGGAGAAAATAGGGAGTGATAACTAATGGATGCAATGTTTCTTTGGGAGGTGAAAAAAATATAAAATTCATCATGGTACAGTTTGTACAATTCTGAATATACTACAGTCCACCAAATTATACATATTTAAATGGTATGAATTATATGTAATTGGACTATGACCTCATAAAATTTATGCCCCCATCTTTCCCAATCTCCAGAACTTGTGAATTTCACTTTATTTTGGAAAATGGTCTTGGTAGATGCCACTAAGTTAAAGGATATTGAGAATATCAGAGTCTGTTAGCCAGGTGAGTTCTAAAATCACTAAGTGCCTTTATAGAGAAAAGCAGAGGGAGAATAATAAACACATACATGGGAAGGTCGTGTGAAGATGGAGGCAAAGACTGGAGTGCTGTGGTAACAAAAAGAAGCTCCAGGGTGCTCACAGTTATGAGAAACTGGAAGGACAGGGACGCATCTGGCCCGAGAGCCCCCAGCAGAGCGAGAGGCCACGGTGACACCTGATTTCAGACTACTGGCCTCTAGAAGAACCAAGTTCTGTTTCAACAATTTGTTATGACAACAATAGGAAATAAATATAGGTATATAAATTATATTTGAGGGCAGCTACTAAAAAATAAAAGAATTAACTAAGTAATTAAAGCCAGATGACTTGGACTTTCACAGAGCAAAGTGAGAAAAATACTGATATTATCAAGACATGGAAGAGAAACAGGATGCAGAAGGAGCTCAGGCAGATGGGATAGAAGCCACAGTACTGGATACATGGGCTAAGGGATAAGGGAACAAAGTTCCAAGTGATTCCTTCTTTGTAGAGGCTCTATTTCCCACCCAGCGAATGATCACTCATCCCTGGAAGCTCTGCTTTAATGCCACCTCCCCTTTCTGCAGCATCCAGGTCCCTATGGACTTCATCCTGAAGTTCTTATTATACTTGTCCTACTGTACTACAATTATTTAAGTGCCTGCCTTCATCAATAGACTGTGAAAATGTTTACAACAATTATGCCCCCCTCATTTTATACCCTAGAGCAACAGTCTTCAACTGGGGCAAATTTTGTCCCCCACTGAACATTTAAAAGTACTGTAACTATTGTAACACTATCTGGGGAGTAGGAGCTAGGGATTCTACTTAGCTTCCTATAATGCACAGAACAGGCCCCCTACTTAGAATTGTTAATAATGTTGAAGCTGAAAAGCCTGGAATTTAGAAAGTTAGGTAGAATACAGTAAGACACTCAAGAGTTGTTTGTGGGGTGCACAGGTGGAGCATGGTTATGGATGAATAGATGGGTGGAGAGGTGATGAATTGTTGGGGACCATGAATTATAAACTGAATCTAGGGGACATCCAAAGCTTGTTCTTGACCTGCTCTTGAGCCAGACTCTAACACGGGAACTCCCCACTGCTCTGGTCATAGCTGGGTTATGACTCCGGGTTAATGACTGCTGTGCTGTTCACAGGGCAGGATAAGGCCTGCTGGAGATACAAGGCACCTGCGGAAGCTACAGTTTCCTTATTATCTGCCTGTCTTGTCCTTGTCCTTGTCCTGGTCCTTGCAAGGCTGCACTGCCCATCTTATTAGCTAACTGTAGGTTCCCTTTGCTGTTCCTGGAAACGCCCACAGCCCTTCACCCATTGTCCTTACTCAGATGTAATAAATAGATACCAAGCTTCTGAGTGCCTCGCGCCCTTTTGTTCCCTGAGAACAACTGGTCATCCCAGATCTCCGCCGCACTTCTATTCTGTCTCTTGCTCTTTCTGCCCCCTGTGCACTGTAACACTTGGCAGGAGATGGGACTGACTGCGGGGGTCCTTGACAACTGGCACCCTGGAAAGGGTCTCCAATAATGAATAAACTGGCACCCAGGAACAGTAGTTTTAAAGCATTTAAAACTGGACCACAGATTCATCCACATCCTGTCCTTAAAAGCTGATTTAAACAAGTCCAGAGTCACCCTTTAGATACTGGTTTAATTAATCTAGGATGAAACTAAACTATTAATCTGTTTTTACATCTCACCAGGTGATTCTAGCACACTGCCAAATGCAAGAAGTAGCACTTCCAAAGGAACAGACTCGGGATAGCTGCAAATGCCAGGCTGGTTTCTGGCAGATGCAAAGGAGAGACCTGAATGCAGAAACAGGTCCTCCCATAGCTAACACTATATTAATCACGAAAAAGTGGGGGATACAAGCTAGCATGCATGCTCTGTGTGGCTAATAGGGGCTGCCTGAAAGACTAACAATAAAATATCTTAAGAGAAAAGGCAATCAAGAGAAGGTAGGATCTTCCCAAAAAAGGAATTTAAGAAGAAAACAGCAGAGACTGAGCAGATAGCAAAGATACTTTCTATATATTATATTCAATACCACCACAATGCTAGAGGTTACAATTAAACTATGTAGTCCAGAGCATCTTACATGTTAACACACACACCTATGAGGACCTTTGGGGATATCCTGTCACTATGCTGACATAACTTAGTGGGTCAGGAGCAGGGCTGGGCCTTATGTTTCTAACAAACGTCCAAGTGATGCTCACAAGACCACAGACCACATCTATAGTGCTGATAGCTGATCTACAGTAACTTTTATTCAATTTGAATGAAGCAATGGAATCACAAGTTCCCGTAACTGATAAAGTGTTAGGTACATTACAATTAAACACCAAAACTTTTAAAGAGTATGTTCTATTTACACTATTAAATAAAATGAGCTGGAACAACATTTTATCAGTAGAGAAAACGATCAGTGCATAACAAGTTACAAGAAAAGATTACATAACGAAGAATTAGCTTAAAGGAAATCAGTTGAAAGTTATTGAAAAATAAAGGTCATATACACTAAAATTTTATATGAAAAGGGAATAAGACTGTAAATTTGGAATTCACGGTATTTTGGTCAAGTAAACTGTTATGACTACAGAACAGAAGATGAAGTTACCAAGGACATCAAAAAAGTAACTAGCAGACCCAGAAATGTAATTTAATCAATAATAAGCAGGAGCTCCTCCTTAAATAACAGGAAAGAGGACACACTATAAAAAAGAAACCCACAAAGCAAGGATGAATTAAGGGCTTACCTAAAAGCAAACCAAAATATGCTACTATTGTCACAATTTCCAGAATCACACAGCTTCATTGCAAAGCAGTAAGACCATTACAATGAAATTTGTTCTTTGAAAACATTCTGGTTGTACCAGTATGACACGTAGCACCACATACTTCCTCCAAATAACCGCCACATACCTCCCAAAATTCAGTCTGTCTATACCCAGGCTTCATTCAGCCAGTTACAATCCAATGGGCAGAATCTCATCAAGTGTACCATTATACTGTGTGCTGTAATTGGCATTACCCTATTGATAGAACTTGTTCTGAGGGCTCAGATAGGATGACATAATCAGCTCTCTCCCATTAAACTGAAACCAATATTTCTCAAGTATACATAGGAAAACTCTGTCACTAGCATTAATTTGACACCAGGGTTCTCGATCCCAGGAACTCTGATTTTAGTAAGTCTAGATAGACCCTTGGAGATGCATATAAAACAAACAAGCAGAAACTCTTCAGATGAGCTCAATGTTTCCCCAACCAGCAATAAAACTGTATAGCAGTGGTAGTTAACCTTTTAGAGCTTTCAACAATAACAAACAGCCAACCGTGGCATGTATCCCATAGATTCACCACATCTCTCTGTAATGTGTAATAGTGCTTCTCAAACTTCATTGTGTGGAAATAACACCAAGGATCTCATTAAAGTAAAAATTCCAGTGTAGTAGGCTTGAAGGGCCCTGCAAATATAAGAAGTTACCAGTGGTTGGAACACACTATCGGCTGCAAAGGCTTATAGCATGGGTTGGGCCAAACTCATAAAGTAGAGAGAGCTATGTGTTAGCCATAGTCTATTGGAGAATACATACCAATTCTAAAAGGAGCTTCTGCTACTCAATTCAGATTGGCTGATCTGTCAGAAAAATTGAACTTTGATGGCATATCTCCAAATTTAATGCCAAAGGTCATATAGTACAACCAACTCCAGTCACTGGGCTAATCATCTATGTGAA